ACAGATCAGAAAATGAAACAGTTTGAACTCAGGAAGAACAATAATAACACTTAGAATCCATTGGTCCAAAGGGAGCGGGGCGACCTCTGTTCAGAAATGTTATAAATTATAAACTTTTGTTTTTGGACTACTTGTAAGAATGAGCCCAGTGAGTCACTATTTGACACTTTGGGCCATGAGAGTGACGGTGATCCTCTGTTTCACTTTTCTGTCTGATAAAGTGGATCTTCAGATGGGACAGAGGCCAAAACACAAATGCAGTGAAAACAAGTGACAGCCGGACTGGAGCTTATCACCGAGTTCTGTGGTTTGTGGTTTAAAAGCTTTAAACAAATTCATCTCGACCCCCCCTGGACTGCCACCTTAACGTGGTGGGGGAGTTTGAGTACTCGGATGATCCTGGGAGCTATGCTGTCTGGGGCTTCATGCCCCTGGTAGGGCCTCCCATGGCAGACAGGTCTCAGGTGACGAGTCAGACAAAGAGCAGTCCAGAAGACACCATGGACAGCACAAATATGAAAACAGTGACGTCGCCCGGCATGGCGCAGCCGGGGCCCCACCCTGGAGCCAGGCCTGGGGTCGGGGCTCGTATGCGAGCGCCTTGTGGCCGGGCCTTAGCCCACGGGGCCCGGCCGGGCTCAGCCCAAAGGGATGACGTGGGCAGTCCCTCCTGTGGGCCCACCACCTGCAGAAGGGTCCGTGGTGGCGCGGTGCTGAGAGGACTGGGCGGCAGTCGAAGGCGGAGACCTCGGCGACCCAGTCCGCACACACAACATCTGGCTCTTGGGACGTGGAACGTCACCTCACTGGGGGGGAAGGAGCCCGAGCTTGTGGGGGAGGTGAGCGATACCGACTAGAGATAGTCGGCCTCACCTCCACACACAGCTTGGGCTCTGGAACCCAACTCCTTGAGAGGGGTTGGACGCTCCTCTTTTCTGTAGTTTCCCGCGGGGAGAGGCGGCGAGCTGGGGTGGCCATTCTCATTGCCCCCCATCTCAGCCGCCACGTGTTGGAGTTCTCCCCGGTGAATGAGAGGGTCGCGTCCCTCCGTCTCCGGGTGGGGGACAAGTCTCTCACTGTTGTGACGGCCTACGGGCCTAACGGTAGTGCAGAGTACCCGGCCTTCTTGGAGTCCTTGGGAGGGGTACTGGACGGTGCACCGCCCGGGGACTCCGTTATTCTCCTGGGGGACTTCAACGCCCATGTGGGAAACGCCAGTGACACTTGGAGAGGGGTGATCGGGAAGAACGCCCCCCTGATCTGAACCCGAGCGGTGTTCAGTTGTTGGACTTCTGTGCCAGTCACAGTTTGTCCATCACGAACACCATGTTCGAGCACAAGGGTGTCCACCAGTGCACGTGGCACCAGGACACCCTAGGCCGGAGGTCGATGATCGACTTTGTTGTCGTATCATCTGACCTTCGACCGCGTGTCTCGGACACTCGGGTAAAGAGAGGGGCGTAGCTGTCAACCGATCATCACCTGGTCGTGAGTTGGATCCGCTGGCAGGGGAAGAAGCCGGTCAGACCTGGCAGGCCCAAGCGTATAGTGAGGGTCTGCTGGGAACGTCTCGCTGAGCCCCCTGTCAGACGGACTTTCAACTCACACCCCCGGGAGAGTTTCTCCCAGGTCCCGGCGGAGGAGGGGGACATGGAGTCCGAGTGGACCATGTTCTCTGCCTCAATCGGCGATGCGGCGGCTCGCAGCTGTGGTCGCAAGGTCTCTGGTGCTGGTCCCGGCGGCAACCCCCGAACCCGGTGGTGGACACCGGCAGTAAGGGATGCTGTCAGGCTGAAGAAGGAGTCCTATCGAGCCATGATGGTTCGGGGGACTCCTGAGGCAGCTGTCCTGTACCGGCAGGCCAAGCGTGCCGCGGCCCGGGCTGTTGCAGAGGCAAAAACCCGGGACTGGGAGGAGTTCGGAGAGTCCATGGAGCATGACTATCGGTCGGCCTCGAAGAGATTCTGGCAAACCATCCGGCGCCTCAGGAGGGGGAAGCAGTTCTTTGCCAACACCATGTACGGTGCGGGTGGAGAGCTGCTGACCTCGACTCGGGATATTGTCGGGCGGTGGAAGGAATACTTTGAGGTTCTCCTCAATCCCCCCGTCACGTCCTCCGCCCTGGAGGCAGAGGCTGAGGATGTTGGGGCGGGTACATCCATCTCCCTGGCTGAGGTCACCAAGGTGGTTGGTAGCCTCCATGGTGGCAAGGCTCCGGGTGTGGATGAGATCCGCCCTGATTATCTAAAGTCTCTGGATGTTGTAGGACTGTCTTGGCTGACACGTCTCTGCAACATCGCGTGGCGATCAGGGGCAGTGCTAATGGAGTGGCAGACCGGGGTGATGGTCCCTCTCTACAAGAAGGGGGACCGGAGGGTGTGTTCCAATTATCGTGGGATCACACTCCTCAACCTCCCCGGTAAGGTCTACTCCAGGGTACTGGAGAGGAGGCTACGGCCGATGGTCGAATCTCGGATCCAGGAGGAGCAGTGTGGTTTTCGTCCCGGTCGCGGAACACTGGACCAGCTCTATACTCTCCATCGGATACTCGAGGGTTCATGGGAGTTCGCCCAACCTGTCCACATGTGCTTTGTGGATTTGGAGAAGGCGTTCGACTGTGTTCCCCGGGGTGTCCTTTGGGGGGTTCTCCGGGAGTACGGGGTCGGAGGTCCTCTGCTGAGGGCCGTCCGGCCCCTGTATGACCGGAGCCAGAGCTGTGTTCGCATTGCCGGCAGTAAGTCAGACCTGTTCCCGGTGAATGTTGGCCTCCGACAGGGCTGCCCTTTGTCACCGGTTCTGTTCACTGTATTTATGGACAGAATATCTAGGCGCAGCCAGGGGTCGGAGGGGGTCCGGTTCGGAGACCACAGGATTTCATCTCTGCTGTTTGCGGACGATGTAGTCCTGTTGGCTCCAACGAACCAGGACCTGCAGCATGCACTGGGGCGGTTTGCAGCCGAGTGTGAAGTGGCTGGGATGAGAATCAGCACCTCCAAATCCAAGGCCATGGTGCTCGACCGGAAAAAGGTGCCTTGCCCTCTGCAGGTGGGTGGAGAGGTCCTTCCTCAAGTGGAGGAGTTCAAGTATCTCGGGGTCTTGTTCACGAGTGAGGGAAGAATGGAGCGTGAGATTGACAGGCGGATCGGTGCAGCGTGCGCAGTGATGCGGTCGCTGTATCGGACCGTTGTGGTAAAGAGGGAGCTGAGCCGAAAGGCAAAGCTCTCGATTTACCGGTCAATCTTTGTGCCCTCCCTCACCTATGGTCATGAGCTTTGGGTAATGACCGAAAGAACGAGATCGCGGATACAAGCGGTCGAAATGAGCTTCCTCCGCAGAGTGGCTGGGCGCTCCCTTAGAGATAGGGTGAGGAGCTCAGTCACACGGGAGGAGCTCGGAGTAGAGCCGCTGCTTCTCCACGTCGAGAGGAACCAGTTGAGGTGGCTCGGGCATCGGTTCCGGATGCCTCCTGGACGCCTCCCTGGGGACGTGTTCCGGGCACGTCCCACCGGGAGGAGGCCCCGCGGAAGACCTAGTACACGCTGGAGGGACTATGTCTCTCAGCTGGCCTCGGAACGCCTTGGGGTCCCCCCGGACGAGCTGGAGGAAGTGTGTGTGGATAGGGAAGTCTGGGCGTCTCTGCTTAGACTGCTGCCCCCGCGACCCGGCAACGGATAAAGCGGAAGAAAATGGATGGATGGATGGATGGATGGATCTCGACCCAGTTTGTTAAACATGTTTTATTCCTCTTTTCACGACTATCAGTTCATACCAAGTATCAGCAGATATTAAAAGCCAAGGTACTGGATGTGGGAAATCTGGATTTATGATATTAGTTAATAATAATGATATGTACTTGTTTTATACAGTGCCTTTTTGGACACTCAAAAACAACATTATTCTTTCACTTCATATGCGGTCGTGATAAACTACGACTGTAGCCACAGCTGCCCTGGGGCACATTGACAGAAGCGAGGCAACCAGGATGTGCCATCAGCCCCTGCGACAAGCACCAACCATTGACACAAAGCAGGCACTCTAGGCAATGTGGGTGGCACGGAAGCCAAGTGGAAAGCACTCTAGCTTTTCAAAAAAAGGTCCTGGGTTCGAATCCCAGTTGGAACAGGACCTTTCTGAGTGGAGGTTGAATGTTCACCTTGCGTCTGTGTTGGTTTCCTCCGAGTGCTCCGGTTTCCCCTACCACAACTAAACCCCCACAATCTACTATCTACTACTGTATATAAGTTAATATGTGTGAAGTGTCTATCCTTAGGACACAGTTTAGCACTTCAGAGCCGCAGCCTTAGTCTCTCATCACCTTACTAGCCAGGCCCTGTCCTGCTTAGTTTCAGTAGTCGGACGGGATCTGTGCTCTCAGTGTTTTAAGTTATTAAGGTGAGGTTGAAAATGTATTGCTTTGTCTGGAATGTCCCACCTCATGTATTTTATAGAAATGATTTACGGATAAACAAGAATACGATGATCAAGATGGAAGTGGACTGTATTTAAAAGGATGATAATTCCTCAATATGAATTACATGTTTCTATGGATAGAAACATATCCATCCATACAAACAAAACAAATACATAGATAATTCTGAAAGTCGCAAACAAAAGTAGTATTAGTATTAAAATGCAGCAGCACTTTAGGTCACAGCAGCAGAGGTGCATCAAACAGGATCTATTATTTAAGATCATAGATAATACAATAATACAATAATAAATGTCTGGAATAGACCTGGTAGGTCAATAATCACGTTTAATAACCTGTGGGTGCGTCGTTGTCATGGAGACGTAAGTTGTATATATTCAAACCGCTGCTCGCTCACTTCACTTGCTGTTGGTCTCTGACGCTTGTGTGGAACTGTGAACTCTCTCCGTCTCATTTGCGTTTGAGGATAAAGCGGTGGTAATAACACTGAGGCACTAATACACTTTGCAAAAGCACTTTGTTGACACTTTTCCAGGTCTGAAAACATCTTTGAACGGTCACTTTGTGAAGGATGGCTCGCCCCTCCCACGTCCTGCCCCTGTTCCCTGGAGGTAATACCACTGAAATGATCATGAAATATGGGTTCAATACATGAACACAACGGGATATGAACAATTGTAGTATTGTATTGTGTGGCTAATTCAATGAGCCACGTGTTTGTGTGAAGAGCTAGCATTAGCATTAGCATGTGGCTGGGGCCCTGTATGAAAGTGCTTCATTACAGATGTGGACTTTTCTCTTTTCGTTTGATAACATGTAAAAACAGCTGCTGATATTGGCACAAGTTGATCAGAAAGGCTGTAAAGTTGTGTTTGTGGCGTCAACATGTATCAGCATCATACAAGTTCATGAGCAGACCCAGTCACATAGTTGACATGTAATCATTGAGGCACATTAGACATTGCTGGAGATGCTGTACACTGGTTTATCTGAGTATTTCTCATTGATGGTGGTAAGAGTGGTGCACTGTAGTGCTGCAGAAGGCACACTGAGCTCACTGGGATCCGCTAATACTACACCAAGTCTAGATAATGTACCATAATAGTCCACTCAAATACTTAGGACTTGAGGGCTAGAAAAAGCAAAGAAAATGTCCTTCTGATCCTGACTCCACTGGTGCTTTCCTTCTCTTTTGTCTTCATGATGATGTGGACTGCTGTGTTTGACTCTGACTTTGACAAAACAAGAACACTTTAGTGTGTGAGGAAGTTGTTGATGTTGTCAATATGTTGCAGCGGCTCGGGACCCCCTGGACGCTCCGGAGGACCCTCTCCCTGACTACTCGTCAGACGAGGAGGACGCAGGTGAGTTGCAGGTAGGTAGGGCTTTTCTCCTCATGCGTGGCCGGGACTTGCACGAGCCTTCTGATGAAGAGGATGAAGAGGAGGAGGACTGGGACAACGCAGACTCTGGCTACGACAGTCTCTCCGAGGAGGACGTCAGCGAAGAGGAAGACGAGGACAGTGAAGAGGACGACCAGCGTCTTCCTCCAGAGGACTTCTGGGCCGGCCTGCCCCCGTGGGACCCTCCTGCTCCAGCTGTGGGGGTTCCTCAGCAGCGAGCAGTGAGCCCTCCTCCTGCGCCCTGTCCCGTCTTTGAAGAGGAGCGTCGTCCAGGGAAGTCCAGGCGCCACAGGGATGAATATGAAGAGGAAGAGCCCATCTCCAAGAGGCCGCGCTTCTCCTACTCTGAGGACATCGAGGAGGAGCCCACCCCCTCCACCTCTGCTGGGACGTCCGGGGGATTCGTCCACTACTTCCAGCAGCTCCACCTGCTCCAAGACTCCAACTCAGACGAGGACTGAAGCTCAGACTGAGACTGGAGACAACAGGTCCTGGAGGAAGAGGAGGAGAGAAGGCCACGCCTGTTTCTACAGCACTTTGACACCAGAGGAGGTCACAAAGTGCTTCACATGGGACACACGCTCCACCATCAGCAGCCCATTTCTCCTCTGGACATTTATTTATTTCTTGATTTATTTATTGGGGCAATATGTTGCCATTTACCTTAAGCCAAAAAAACCCAAAAAAACCCATTTACCTAGAACAAGGGTTTTCAGCCTTTTGACAGATATATGTGTATCAAACATAAAGCATGTGTTCATTCATTAGAACACAAAAGGATAGATGATGTAATAAGGATATATTCTATCATAGTGAGTAGTTTCAGTGATGAAAGACACAGAGAAAGCCTTTCAGAGGACACTTTGAAAGGCCTGGAGAGCCACTGGTCGCTCCGCACTATAGGTTTAAGACCCTTGTTCTAGGATCAGTCATAGTTTGTTTCAAAAGAGGAGAAGGCAAAGAAAACTATGTAGGACTTCCATAAAGTGTAAATCCTGACAAGTGTCCAGAGCAGAAACAGATTGAACATGAGCAGTAAGTCCACAGATGATCCTCATGTGAGCAGAGGTCTCACTCTGTCCTCCATAGTACTCTTTGCTTTCTCCTGTGGGGAGTCGCCCGATAATCAGCCCTTTGAACTTTATGGAAATAAAGTTTGTTGATTGATTTATTGATGGTTGCTGGTGAAATTCCCACTGCTTTGATGTGCATTTTTAAATCAAAGGTCAGGAAAACTATGTAGGAACGTATTAGACACAGATCAACTTTGACAAAAATCACTCAATGACACAATGACTTGATAGTATTTGAGAATGGAAGAAATAAGAGCTTAAGCTGACTCTAGTGTGGTTTCCTGCATAGTACGCCTGGCCTTGTGTTCACTCTAGAGCAGGGATTCCCAAGATGGGGCCCATGGGCCACATGGGTCACCCTGCTCTAGAGCTGAGGAGGATCAGCAGGAGAGGAGGTGGAGTACCATCTACAGGGTTGGTGCTGTGATCCCTCCTCCTTCCAATGATTCTGCTTTATCCATTGCTGGGTTGCGAGGGTAGCTTCTCTAAACACAGACGCCCAGACTTCCCTCTCCACACACACTTCCTCCAGCTCATCCGGGGGAATCCCGAGGCGTTCCCAGGCCAGCTGAGAGACATAGTCCCTACAGTGTGTCCTGGGTCTTCCTGGGGTCTTCTCCCGGTGGGACAAGTTCTGAACACCTCCTCAGGGAGGCGTCCAGGAGGTCTCTGAAACAGATGTCCAGTAGGCTCCTCTTGACATGGAGAAGCAGCAGCTCTACTCTGAGCTCCTCCTGAGTGACTGAGCTCCGCGTCCTAAATCTCTAAGGGAGGGACACTGCAGAGGAACCTCATTTCCACCACTTGTGTCTGAGGACACAGTGGCTCAGTCAGTGACAGTGGCTCAGTTGGTAGAGCATTGGCCTTTGGGCCTGAAGGTCATAGGTTCGAGCCCACCACGAGACCTACTTCACGACTCTCACTGATGTCTGCTGTGGTTGTGTCCTTGGGCAAGACACTTAACCCCACTTTGCCTGAAGCCCCTGCTGGAAGACCAAATCTCCTGTGGACTCACCACCTGCAGGAGGATCAGTGAGGGGCTGGTGCTCTGACTGCCACCCCTCGTCCAAGAAATGGATTAAGGGGAAGAAAATGGATGGATGCTATCTGTGATCTCGTCCTTTCGGTCATTACCCAAAGCTCATGACCAGAGGTTGTTCACGAGAGGCTCACTCGTGAACAAGACCCCGAGATACTTGAACTCCTCCACTGGAGGAAGGACCTCTGCACCTGGAGAGGGCGAGGCACCTTTTTCTGGTCGAGCCCCATGGCCTCAGATTTGGAGCTGATCTTTATCTTCACACTCGGCTGCAAACCGTCCCAGTGCATGTTGAAGGTCCTGGTTTGTTGGAACCAACAGGACAACATCGTCTGCAAACAGCAGATACGAAATCCTGTGGTCTCCAAATATTTTATTTATTTCATATTAATGTATTTGTTTGGACAATGTAGACAGACATATTAACCAAACAAAGCTGATGCAGAGTAAAAGGTAAATGCTACTTTAAAACATTCTGTCCCTGTGCTTTTCTACACTCACTTTAAAAGTTTAGAAAGATTCATTTTGGGTTCTTCTAAACCAGACAATATAAGGTTTTAACCTCAAGGTAATAACATCACAAAACCTTATATTGTCTGGTGTTAAAGAACCCAATACTTTGAATTCACTTTAAAACCTTCATGAAAACAATAATAAAGGTACAATGTCTCTCCTTCATTTCCTCACACACACAAGTCATATTTGACAGTATTTAACAGTTTGTCAAAGGACAAAGAGTGGGTCTTAAACCCATGTGCTCTTGTGTGAATGTACAGCCTTCAACAGGATTTGGAGGCTGTGACTTTAGATTCCTCGGCCAAAGGTAAGACATGTACAATTGTTTGGGCTGAGGACAGAGACAAGACACTTCCAGCTTTGACAGCACTGAGAGACACACACATCAGCACACCAGGTAGGAGTGTGTGTTAAAGTCATGGTACAGTCATTGTGTGTATGAGCACATGAGGAACACACACTGACAGCTTTAACTGACTCTGTCATTATCAAAGTCTTCAGTTTGTTTCCAGATTTGTGTTCCAGTTGGAGACAGGAGTCCGCTGCATCTATCATGTCCCGTTGAGTCATCTCCAAATAAGTCATGAACTTGTGAATGAAAGGATCAGTCTGCTCCCACTGTTCACAGATGGATGTGTCGCTGATGGAGCTGTCCATGGTATCAACCACACTACTGCACTGAAGCACCACCAGAGACCACCCTGATCCTAATGAGCTGAATGAACTTGTTTTCATTACAGGAACTCAAGCTCAGTGTTGGAAAAGTCATGGTCCTCTACAACTACAATGACTGTTGTACTTCCAGCTCCAGCCACATATAGTCCAAAGAACACACATCCACATATTTGTAAGTCAATATCTGGGATGCAGAATGTTCAGTCTGTATCTGCACATTAGAATGGAAGAGACACCAAACTTGTTTTTGACCAAATGTAGGATCTATTCTTGTGAGAGTGACCTGTGGATGCTGCAGTCCACATCAGAGGAAGAGAGGAACCTGCCACAAAGAGACCAGACTCATCCCAAGTGAGAGGCCTTCAGTCTGTGTCCTGCTGCTCTTCTCAAAACACTCTTATAACACTTTGCTTTTGTTCAGGAAAGAAACCTGAGAGAGGTCTCCAGAAAACTGAGGATTTACAACAAGATGAACCGAATCATTCTCCTGTTTCACTCTGAAGCTGCAGGCTGCTGTAGTAAAGAGGGAGCAGCGTCTGCAGTCAGAGCTCTATCAGGCTGTTGTAGTGAAGAGGGAGCAGCGTCTACAGTCAGAGCTCTATCAGGCTGTTGTAGTGAAGAGGGAGCAGCGTCTGCAGTCAGAGCTCTATCAGACTGTCGCGGTGATGTTCCCACCATGAGTTTTGGAAAATGGCTCAAAGGACAAGATAGCAGATACAAGGCTCTAAATGAGTTAGCTCTGACTAGAGCCGCTGTTCCTTCACGTCAAGAAGAAGCGTCTGAGGTGATGAGAGGAGGAAGCTTTTCAGTGGATTTAGCACAGTTCTGTTGCATTCTCCAACCAGCAACAATACGCTCAATGCTCTTTTCCACTGGTCCTTTGTCGTCAGATGCAGATGTTTAAAGATGCAGAACCCAGAGCCAAGAGCACGTGGCCTTGGACCTGTAAGATGTTCTCCAGTGCCTTTTCATCTGGCAGACTATGATGTGAGTGGAGCAGGGGCCCAGAGCCAGTTTTAGAAGTCACCCGGATTAGTGGGGCCTCCACCAGCTCAGCACCACAGAGAGCCACACCCCCTGCACCTGACCACAGCCCACAGTTTACCAGTGTAGATAAGACCAGAGCCATGTCTGCTGAGAGCCGCCGGAACTAGGACAAGCTCCAACAGAGGTGAGAGTAAAGTACCTCCAGCAAATCTGTGTGAGGATTTACAACAAGAGTTCAACAACACCATTCTTCTGTTTTCTTGTGACTGCAGGCGCTGAGGAGCAGTTGGACCTAACGGAGAAACTGTGACCAAAACAAATGTGAGAGCGTCTGACGTCAAAACTCAGCCCCTCTGAATACCAGGACAGGGAACTGGACCGGAGGCAGATGTTCAAGTGTCTCTGGTCTTGTTCACTGCGAGGGAAGGAGCAGCGTCTGCCGTGATGCTGCCTCTGTATGGGACTGTTGTGGTGAAGAGGGAGCTGAGTCTGGAGCTGGGGACGCCTGATCCAGCTGCAGGAGGTGTGCGTGAAGAGGGGAGTCTGGGCCACTCAGACGGCTGCCTCTGTGACCCGGCCCAGGATAAAGTGGAAGAAAATGGAAGGATGTGTCCAGATGTGCCCAGAGCAACTGAGGGATGGAGAAAGTTTAACTGAAGACACACTGAAGAAATCCAAATGTGGTCATAATAAAAACCAACCAATGTCAGATTCAATACTTTCATTTTATTTCAGTCATAGTAAGTTTGTGTTGAAGTGTTGTGTTACTTGTGACCAAAGGAGAACAGTCAAACACTATTTTACAATAATTGTTAATTCAGAATCAGAATCATTTTTATTGTCACGTAAGTAACAGGAGGTCACAGACTTGGAAATTGCTTTGGCTCAGTGCAACAGTCAAAAAGAGATAATAAAAATAAGAATAAAAAACACTTCTAAAGAATAAATTTAAATTTAAAATAGAGTTACAGTTACTATTTACAATATACAAGTGCACATGGTGCACACAATGTAAGGTGACAGCAGTACAGTGAAGTAAAGTGACGTATGATGGGCAGTAAAGTGACTTTATAAAGGGCGGGGGGACAGGTTAAGAAGTGTTCAAGAGTCCAACAGCAGAGGGGAAGAAACTGTTCTTGTGGCGGGAGGTTCTAGTCCTGATGGACCGCAG